GAAAAATACCATATGAGATCACTCATATGCGGAATCTAAAAATAAAAAACAAAAACAAATACAAAACAGAAACAGAGACATAGAATACAAACTTGTGGTTGCCAAGGGGGCAGGGGGTGGGAAGGGACAGACTGGGATTTTAAAATGTAGAATAAATAAACAAGATTATACTGTATCGCACAGGGAAATAAATACAAGATCTTGTGGAAGCTCACAGCGAAAAAAAAATGTGACAATGAATATATGTATGTTCACCTATAACCAAAAAATTGTGCTCTACACTGGAATTTGACACAACATTGTAAAATGACTATTACTCAATAAAAGAATGTTAAAAAAAAAGCAACACACAAAAATTAGCTGCATTTCTATAAACTAATAATGAACAACCCGAAAAGAAAATTACAAAAAAAATTATATTTACCATAGCATCAAAAAGAATAAACTATTTAGGAATTAACTTAACCAAGGAGGTGAAAAATCTGTACAATGAAAACTACATAATATTGCTGAAACAAAGTAAAGACATAAATAAATGGAAACAAATCCCATGTTCATGGATCACAAGACTTGCTATTGTTAAAATGTCAACACTACCCAAAGCAATCACAGATTTAATACAATCTCTATCAAAATCCCAATCACTTTTTTTTGCAGAGATAGAAAAACCCATCCTAAAATTCATACGGAATCTCAAGGGATCCTGAATAGCCAGAACAATCTTGAAAAAGAAGAACAAAACTGGAGGACTGGAGGAGTCACACTTCCTGAGTGCAAAACTTACTACAAAGCTACAGTTTTCAAAACAGTGTGGTACTGGCATAACAATAGACATGTAGACCAAATTGGAACTGAAATATACTCAAACCCTCTCATATATGTTAAAATGACGTCCAACTCTTACCTAATACCATATACAAAAATTAACTCAAAATGGATCCAGGGCCTAAATGTACAATCTAAAAAATTAAATTCTTAAAGAATAAAACAGAACAAAAAGCTTCACGACATTGGATTTGGCGATGATTTTCTCGGATATAAAGCAAAAGAAAAAATAAACAAATGGACTTCATGATAATTAAAAAATGTTTGTGTATCAAAATACACTATTAACAAAGTAAAAAGGCAACCCACAACAGGGAAAAATATTCAAGATCTTGTAGTAGCTCACGGTGAAAAAGAGTATGAAAACAAATATATGTATATTCATGTATGACTGAAAAATTGTGCTGAACACCAGAAATTGACACCACGTTGTAAACTGACTATACTTAATTGAAAAAAATAATTTATTGCTAAAAAATGGTAACCACTATTCGAACCTTCAGAGAGTTGTCATCTTTTTACAATAGTAACATAAAAGATCACTGATCACAGATCACCATAACAAATACAATAATGAAAAAGTTTGAAATATTTCAAGAATTACCAAAATGTGTCAAAGAGACATAAAGTGTGAGCAAATGCTGTTAGAAAAATAGTGCCAACAGATTTCCTACATGCGTTGCTGCCACAAACCTTCAATTTGCAGAAAAAAAACAACAACACAATAAAGCAAAGTGCAATTAAACAAGGTACGCCTGTACATAAACGAGTGTGGCTGTGTTCCTATGAAACTTTATTTACAAAAACAATCGGTAGGCTGGTATTGGTCTGCGGGCCATAGTTTGCTGACTCCTCCTCTTTGCTATCACTTTGTGTTGTCCCAGACACCTGTACACTTATCAAGAATTTGGCACTCGACTCAGTCTTCATCACCAACCTAAGGGACAAAGGACGGTGCCTGCACCTGGTAAGCATTCCATAATGTGGCTGCAATTATTATTTTCAAAAACTATCATGTGGACACTCTGATTAGCTCTGTGTATGACCACCTAGGCTGTCAGTTTCTTCACCTGCTTAACTGTCGTACCCTAGACTTTGTCATCACTCCAGAGCACTGTCTCTGAAATCACATCTCTAATATACACTGATCACTCTCAGTCCCTTTATGCTTGTTCTTCAACCTCAGTAAGCCTTCTGTCCACTTTTATCTCTGTTGTCTCCTAATTCACGAGCTCCCACTCATCTTTACTTCCTTCTATCAACCTTGATCTCATGGCCCGTTAATTGAGCCACTCTCTCACCTATACCTCAACTCTCCAAGTGTACCACAAAACCTTGCACCACCCCATCCATCTGCCACCTCTACACCTGGATGTCCCAGGACCACTGAAAATGGATCACAGATCAACGCCCTTACAAACTTAGGCTCTCCAGCCTTAGCCAGGGCTTCAGCACTACCCAGCAGTATTCTCCTCGGTTATTTCACAAATAGTCCAAAATTCCAAGGCTGAAAATTCCCCTTAAGCTATCATACCTTCTCTGGCCTTCAAATGACCAACTTGCCTCGGGCTCTTCAGAGAAAAACTCTCCGCTGCACCTACACACTGAACTTATCCAGCATCCGAGTCCTTCCCTCTAGTCCCAGAAAGAGTCTGGATCCACCCCTGCCCTTCTGCCTCACCAATACTACAAAAAATAAACCCTGAACCAAGCCAGCCATACGCCTTCTTTCACTGCTCTTTACCCATGGATATAGTTCTCATCCTGAGCCTCCCTGTCTTCAAACTTGATATTCTTTCAAGATTGTCGAGTGTTGTGAGTATAACACACCTAGAAGTGCCTGATATATGGTACTCAATCAATAAATGGTAGCGATGTCATTATTATGGGAGAGTAATAGCATAAAGGTGAAAGGCAGATGACAAAAAAAAAAGGGATATAGAACTGGGGAGCAGCAGGGGGCCAGAAGGAGAACACCTGGAAATAAAAATGGAGAAAATAATTCCCCTTGCCATAATATGTCCCAATCCTTCCGTGACTATATTCAGTGGCTGTGTAAATTATGGTAATTAAATGTATGACGACTCTTTGCTATTCTCACCATGGTCTGGAGCCTGAAACTCCTGCCACGGTATAAAACTCTCCAAGGGGAAGATTTGCTCTGGGTTCTAAGTCTTTATCAGCAGAGAAAACTAATAAATCTTCCTTCTATTAACCTAGCATTAAAGTGATATCCATTAAAAAGGAATTATAGAAATGTTTAGCCATTGAGAGTGTTAAACAAAAGTATTCAACTAGTGATTCTGTGGCTGGGGCAGGAGCAACCTAAGGTGACAGCCTGGGACATCTTGCGCCAGAAAGCACAGAAGTGCTCATAAACTGACTGGGGTGGGTGGAGGTGATGGGGTGGGGGTGTCAGAAAGACACAGGAGCTGGCTTGCAAGGGCTCCTACAGGTCACATTTGGGACAATTTGAGCATCAAAAAGAATAAACATTGTAATGGATTCTAACACGGTTAATTTTTTAAAACAGTCCTTATGTCCAGGCAGGTCATTTTATTATTTTTTTAAAGGGAGGAAGGTAGTCAGATTTATCTTTTTTTTTTAATTCTTTTTTGTTTTCCTTAATGAAGGTACTGGGGAATGAATCCAGGACCTCGTGCATACTAAGCACACGTTCTAGCAGGGAGCTATACCCTCCCCGCCAGATCATTCTTTTTTAAAAAGGAGGTGGGTAGAAAGAAAGGGGAAAATGAAAAACTTTCATAGAATAAAACCAGCTAATAAATGTAGAAGGAATGAAATAACTAGAAAATCATCACTTTGCACCCCTCCAAAGGTAGAGAGGTCATCTCCATGATGAGAAAAACACTGAGTGAAGAATTAATGGGTGACAGGATATCCATATAGTCTTCAAGTATTACTTACTCCACGATAATTTTTAATTATGAAAATTACAAAGGAAAACACCGTACCTTTTCAATGGAGGTATCTGGCAGTCACCCTTTTAATCAAGTGATCAAGCTTAGCATCAGCAACAGAGAGCAGCCTGATATTATGAAGCGGCTGTGATGCAATAAAATGCACACAGCATCACCTGTGTAATGTACCCAAAAGCTTTTCACACTGAATTAACGAAGAGAAAGCGATCAGACACTTAGGCCAGTCTTGCTACTCAAAAGTGGTCCAAAGATCAGAATCCCATCCCTTGGGAGCTTGTTCAAAATACAGAATCTTAGATTCTATTCTGGAGAACTGCCTTATAATTTTCATTTTAAACAGAGCCTCAAGTGTCTCTGAGATATAAAGTTTGAGAAGCCCTGTACAAGACAAACCATACTTTTCAAAAAATTAATGTCACAAAAAACAAAAAATAAAAGGCAGGTTGACTGCTCTGGATTTTGACTTTATTCTGAGGATTAAAGGTCTTCGTATTAGGGACATTTTCTGACAATTTTAAGTCAAGGTGAGAAGGCAAAACAATTTTCACTTCTCATTTTCATCTGGTACCTTGAAGAAAAAGCATTCAGTGATATGACAGGCAGCCTTTCCCCAAGGTAAAAGCATTTTACTTCTTCAGCTTAATCTTAGTAAACCAGCATAAATTACTGAAGGTAAGCAAAATAAAGTTATTAAAAATGACTTCGAGAATCAGTATGAAGAAGAGTTGGGAATAATTTTGTCAAGTTACCTACAACTCTCTTGACTAGAAAACTTGTGAGAAACCATGATGTTTTTATGGGAGTTTACTGAACACAGTTTTCCGAAAGCACTTAGACAAAGAATAAGCACCTGTCTTTTTGGCTTAAGCGTACTTGTGCCCAGGTAAAAGAGGACTGACTTCAACAGACGGATGACAGCCTAAGCCAATGACTCCATGAATCAACCTCTAAATCAACCTCTCCTATAGGCTGGCAACTACGACCAGCCGGCCAAATCCAGCCCACCACTCATTTCCATGAATATAATTTTACTGGAACCCAGCCATGATCATTCATTTATACATTGTCTGTGGCTGTTTTCACTGTAATAGCAGACTAGAAAAGTTGCAGCAGAGATTATTATGACCCACAAAGTCTAAAATATTTACTATCTGGCCTTTCACAGAAAACAACTGCTGACCCCTGTTAGAGACAAGCAATCCAAGAATGCGATAAGGCCTGTTCCAGACTCACCTGGGGTGTTGTCTTTTTGTATTGGTCACCTCCATCTATCACATCCTTCATGATTTTTCCCTTGAGAAATTCATATTCTTCTGAACTCAGGTGAATAGACTCTAGGGTTCTTCCACAGCCCAAACACTGACCACTGTAATTACAAGTGAATGTGTTAAATAATGTCCTAGAAACGAATCTTTTCTAAAATGAATCATTCTAGGACATGAGGAAACTGGAAGGTAATTTTTAAAAGAACATTACAACCCTTGTGATCATCACATACATCTGATTTTTGGAAACCAGAAAATATCACAAATTCATGTGCCAAAAAACCCAAATGAGTAGACTGCTGGGCATCCAAAGTTTTCTATTTGTTTTTTTAACCACGTAAAGTTTTAAAAGTCATTCTTAAAATACAACTGGATCCCAAATCTCTAAGGGAAACACTTCTGAGGATCACACCAAGTTCACAGCACCCACCAAAAAAACAATTGACCATGACAAATTCTCCAAATGTGAAACATGACTTTTTTTCCTTGGTTATCCTAATTTACTTATTTATCCTATCTCTAAGGTAGTCTTTTAATTTTGTTTTCATCAGTAACAACAAAACCTGCTAAACCTAAATCGAACAAATTAAAAATAAAATACTGGCCTTTACCTTTGCTGGATTGTGGTGAACTGTCCTTTCCATTGTTCTCCAGGAACACTACAAAAAAGAATGCAAAACCAAGCCATCAGAAGGTCAAATTCCTACTGAAGCAAAAAGACACTCACTGTATTTAAAAACTTGGTAGGCAAAAGCTCTGAAAAATTCAATACTTCCCTAGAATGGTTCAGTTCGAAGAGTGGTTGCTTACACTGTGATGGGGCTAAGGAACTGATGGTCCCCTACTCTGGATCTCCTTCCCTTTGCTGCTTCTCTCGTCATCTGATCCTCATCTTCAAGTCTAAATCTACCTTCACAGGACCTGCTCCCAAAAGCAGCTGACATTCGTAGTATAACCTCTGTAATCGAAACTCAACTCTAACCTCTATAAAGCTGCCAGAGACTGTTCCTGCCCAGAGCAATCACTTCTTGTACACAATAAACTTATACACCACTCTTAGGTAACTGTCAATTACTGTATTCACAATTAGGATGTGAATGCCACTGTAATGGATATGATATCACAAAACACCCACAGTGCTAAGCCTAAAATTGAAGGCATTCAAAATTACTTATTGATTTATTTGCTCAAACAACGTGTCCTTCCTTCTTTCCTCTTACACATAATACTATCAATTCCTATTGATTCTACCGCCTTCTCTTCTTTCTCCTTTCCCAGGTCTTAATCCAAGATCTCATCATCTCTCGTTCAAACCTACATCTGCCTCCACACAGATCTCCCTGTTTCAAATCATAATCCCTCTCCAATCTTCTTTCTCATTGTTTTGGCAGTTACCTTTTTAAAACTCCACTCCAAGACCAGCATTCTTGATAACAGAATAAAATCAAAATCCTTAGCAGTCAAAGACCTTCACACTCCAGCTCTTCTGTTGATACTCAGTAGATTTGTCAATAAAGATAACTAAGCATGACTGCTATTTCAAAGCTCCGTAAAGATAATACATAGTGGAAAAGCAAGAGAAAAACAGAGGCGAAAGGAATGAATCTGGAGGAAAGAGCCTGAAGCAAATTAGCAGTAAAGACGTAAGAGAATGAAAGACTGAAGCAATAAATTGGCATGTAGCCAGTAACAAGAATAAAAGCAAAGGAGAGAGCAGCCAAAAGATGGAGAGATCAAAATAAACTGGAAGGATGAATGCATATCAGGTTTGATCAGGATTCCTCTCTCCACTCTTAACTATTCAACTTGATGAAATGCATAGATTAAACAGAATATACACATGCACATTATATCAGTCACTGGGTCTCAGAAGAACTTCTGAAAACACTAATATGATCCAAAGACAGCTCCAGTTATATTGGTATGAACTCTAGCCACAAGTGCTATTTGTAAATATTAACATCATACTAGATATCTCAGAAAACAAATGATCCTTCTATAAGGAAAAAATACATAAAAACTACAAGTGCTTTATAGTTTCTCTTTTATGTGATAACCACAACTTGTTTATGCTACTTTTTTAAAGAGAAAGAAAATTTTGTCTTAAAGTGGAAATAATCTTACTAAGAGACAGAAAAAAAGTAGAGCCTGAATAAAGTAATTCTCAGCAACTAGTTAGAAAAAAAAGGCAACTTTTAGTATAGGTATTAAAATAAAAACATATATATTAAGAAAAAATCGAAATTACCTCTCAAACCATGTTTTTATACTGTGTGCAAATGATTCCCCAGGATATAGCTGATTATTTCTTAGATACAAAAGAATGTCTTGCAGTTTGTTTGAATACTGAACATCTTTTATGTCTTTCCCAAAATCGAAAAAGGCTTTTAAAGTTTCCAACATAGGAACAATATCATGACCTAACAATTCCTGATACAAATTCCACGCTACATTTACATCTTGATGAAAGAGGGCTCCCTGGATACAGTCATTATAGTTCCTCTTTGAAGGGGTTATGACTTTTCTGATGTCTTCCAACAGTAGCAAGGCCTCTCTCCATCTGTCTGTATGGCTTAATCCCCGGATGAGAAGAGTGCTCCCTGCAGGTTCTAAGCGCTTGTATCTGGTTTTCATGATTTCATAGACATCAATAATTTCTGATGTCTGTTTATGAAAAACACAGAGAGACAAATACTTGACAAGCAAATCATAGCCTACAATACCACTGTTTTTTGCAGCTACCCAGGCCAGCACAGATTTGGCCACATCAACAGAGCTATGGCATTTAACCATTTGTGAAATGATCCAATTTTCAAAATTAGCCTTTTCTTTGAAATCTTCCTTAAGTTTATCCCACTCCTCTGAAGTCAAAGGTTTTGTTGGGAGTTGAATAATGTTCCCCACAGGTCGCAAGTCATGACCTTTACTTGAAGGATTCATCTGTGATCGCTTCTTAGCTGCTCCAGCTGCAAACATGTGAGGAGACTCAGAAGAAACTTGTTTATTATTCCCCTCATTTCCCTTCCTGACATATCCGACCTTGGCAATCAACAGATTCATTCCTTTGGTATTTTGTGGGGACATCGTTTTAAGAGAAAACCACTTCTGTTGGTTCCTGATGCCATCATAGTCTTTGAGAAACAGGGAGACATAAGAGTGTCCCTGGCCTAGCCCAAGATATGGGTTACTCTTCCAAAGCTTAGGAAAGCTTCGAACACCAGTGAAATAGAAAGTCATTGTGCAGTGAAATCAGCACCAGATTGCGAGATGTTCAAAAAGCCCCAACTTCTACGGCATATTATGGGATTGGGGGTGAAGGAGTGTGGAGAATCGAAGCGCAACTTTCTAAAATATGATTTTCAGCTTCTCACAGGCAAATCAGGGTTCTGATTTTGGGGGCTAGTTAAAACCAACTAAGTCTGGTTGAACTCTCTTCATTATACAACGATCTGGGGACATCCAACTTCGGTCGCAAGCTTCAGAACCGGAGGACAGAGCAGGAATCTTCTGGAGCCTGTTATATCCCAGTCCACGAATCTGAGGAAAAAAGCACAGAGGACCTCCCAGTTCGACTCACGCGGAACACAGCTGTTCTTTAAAAAGGGCAGGATCCCACGGGAGCAATGCGGCAGAAAGGGAGTAAGTAGGTAGCCCCCTACCCTAGACCCACCGGCAGCAAGGACAGACTCGGAAGCCCAAGTCTAGGGGCCCTGGCCCCTAAACTCGTCAAATAATGGCAGAGGGGTAGGGAAGGGGCGGGGGAGAGAGAAGCAAGGAAAGGAGGTCCAAAAGGGCACCGCCTGCTGAGTCCGGACCGATCACAAACGACGTTCACTTCGTTCAACAACTCACCACAGCACTCCAGCTCCACGCAACCATAAACGCGGCGCAAACTACGGCGCCCACAATGCACCGCGACGGCCCCCGCCGCGGAAGTGTGGCTGAGCCGGACGCAGGGCTCCGCCGGGCCTGGCGGCGAGAAAAAGGCGATTCTGAACCTTGTAGTGGCGGAAGTGGGCACAGGCAGCTGCCGAAGGCGCCTACTACACTCAGGAGACCGTTAGGACCCCCAGATAGCCGCAGTGAACAATGAAAAAAAAAATGTGAAATCAGAAGGCTCTTCCCTCGATTTAGAAGCTCCAAAGGCACTCCTGGCTCACGTGGTGCACAAGCGCCAAAGGGCCAAGACGAAGTAAAAAGTGCGTGCTCTCGTATCCTGCGCCTTTAAAATAGGACGTGGTGAAGCTGGGACGCTGCTTTAAGGAGGCCCATTTTCCGTCTCTTTCACGTCTGTTAGCGTGATCGCCGTACTCTCCGCAGTGGCGGGCAGTGATGGAGTTCTTCGGTTTCGTCGACTTCCGCCCGTGTCCAAGATGGCGGTTGAGCGGCCTTCCTGATCTTCACGGGGCTGGGCGGCTTTGACGCCTCAGCTGGCGGGGGTGGAGCGGTTAGTAAACAGCAAATGCGGGAACTGCTGCGCCGGAGTCAGCCATGGACTGGAAAGAAATTCTTCGCCGGCGGTTAGCGACGCCTAACACCGGTCCGAACAGTGAGTTTGGGAGGGGCGGCCCGCAGAGACAGCCTGGCCCCAACCTCCAGGAGGTGGGGGAGGATGGGGAGGAGCAGCCCTTGCGAGCCGCGCTTTCCGCTTCGGTAAAACCTCTCCTGACAAAGGAGGCGGACTGGGAAGTGGTTTAAGGATCTAGAGGGGTTTGACTCATACTTCCCTGGGAAAAGCTTTGCGGGAATGAAAAGCTACTTACTGTAGCCACTCACTTGTATGGTACTGACCTAGATTTGCGAGGGGTAATCGAGAATCCTGGCGTCAACAACTCTTCTATCCTACCGGAATCCATTGACCCTACCACTTTTAATTGTCACACTTTTCACTTCCGTCCTTATCCCCTTTAGACTTAATAATTCATTTTTCCTTGTCTCTTTCTCTCTGCTTCACGCTTGCTTGTTAATCAGTCTGATTAAAACTATCGTTCTTATTCCACACCGGCATCCGGGGCAGCTGATAGCGGCTGGAGAAAAACGGAACCGTGGTGAATTGTCTCTTTTAATTCAATGTCCATTAATACCTAAAGTAGGTGTTTTAGTCATTCGTCTACATTTCTTCCTTGTTTCCCTAGACATTCACTGTCCTGCACTCCAAGTCAGTTCTTTCTCATCTCCCAAACCTTCATGTCCTACCTGCTTCTTACCTTCAGCTGATGAACTAGTATGTATATTTAAGAACGTAGAAGCAAAGAAGAACCTCACCTGCCCATTTATTATTTCTGTCAGCCCCTTTCGCCCGATAGGTGACACTCTACCTTCACTGTTAAAATGATGAACTCTTTATCGCGCTTATTTGAGACAGTCCCTCCACTCCTGCACTAGATCGTGTTCCTTTCTTGTATTCACTGACTTCACTCTGACCTTATCCTCTCTCATACCGCATCAAATTTTCCTTCTCTACTAGATCATTTCCGTCAGCTTTGACAAACATGCTGTGATTTCCCCATCTTAAAAAAAAAAAGTCATTTGATTTTACCTCCCCCTCCAGCTTTTGCTACATTTCTCTGTACCCCTTATTAGAAAACTTCTCGAAAAAGTTACCTGTTACTTGTGCTTTCTCTTCCTCTTCATTCTTAAACCCACTCCATTGCATGTCTGTTATGTGCATAACTTAGGCTGTAGCAGCAAACACACGGAAATTCTTGTCCTTATAGAACTTACACTTTAGTGTTGGGAGAGATGAGAAAATAATGTCAGTTATATAGGTTGTACAACTTCTATTGAAGGCTGTCTTTTTCATCAGTGTGCTAGATCCCATCCTTTGTGCTAGATGCCATTTTTGCCTCCTTAAGGATGTAGTCCTGCAGTCATCCCCTGTCTCCTGCATCATCAGGTTTTCTCAGTCATTCCCATCAGCATATGAACATGGTGGTATTTCTCCCACCTTAGAGAAACTTTAATTTCGCCCTGTAGCTGTCCCTCATTTCTCTGTTCTTTTAGCAACACTTGTTAAACGAGTTATCAGTTGAATCTGTACTTGTCTCTGATTCCTGCTTGTCACGATCATCAGAAATCTCCATGTTGTTCCAGAGCTCAGTTTTCCTCACTTTACTTGACCTGCTAGCAGTCCCTGCCAGGGACACAGCGGTTCACTCTCTCCTCTTACACATACTTTGTTCTCTTGGTCTCTGGGAGACACACTCTTAGTTGTCCTCCTCCCTCACCAGTCATCCCTTCTCAGTCTTTGCTTTTTCTTCCTCTTCTCTCCAAGAACTTAACATTGGAGTGCCCAAGGCCCAGTCCCTTGTCAGCTTCTATTCTCTGTCTACACTTGCTTCGCGGTGAAATTATCTAGTCTTACAGCTTTCAATGCTATGCATTTGTTAACATCTCCTAAATATCTCAAGCCTGAACCTCTTCCCAAATGCCAGATTCATATGTCTAATTGCCTACTTGACATGGTTACTTGGCTCTAATAAGATACCTTGATCTTGTCCAAATTGAACTCCTGCTCTTCTTCCTGATTTGCTCACTTACAGTTTTCTCCATCTTAGTTACTGGCAACCCCATCTACTCAGGTCAGAACCTTTGGAGATATCTTTGACTGCTCTTCTCTTCAATAACCCACGTCCAGTGTGTCAGCAAATCCTGGGACCAAAAAGAAAATATATCCAGGATGAATTTATTCCTGATAGCCTCCATTGCAGCCACCCTGGCCCAAGCCACCACCATCTGTCACCTGGATTACGGCATTAGCTTCCCATTTGCTTCTGGGGGCTCTTTCCCTCACCAGAATAAAAGCCAAGGGCTTTCCAGTGACCTCGTGGCCTGACCTCCCATTACCTGCCTTCCCTCATCTCCTGCTATCCTCTTTGGCTCATTCTGCTGCAACTGCACTGGCCGCCTCCCTCTTCCCTGCACACACCAGGCACGCTCTCTTTTTAGTGCCTGGGCGCTGGCTGTTTCTTTTGCCTGGAATGCGCTTCCCCCGGATATCTGGATAGCCAGCTTCCTCACCTTCAGTTGTGTTTTTGTTTTGTTTTGTTTCTTTTCTGCTCAGTTTCATCTCAGCAAGACTTTCCCTGACACTCTGTCAAAAACCGCACGTGTGTACACACAAATCCGCTCACATAGACTTGTATATCCCTAGAACAGTTGGATGATATAATGAAAGTGATTCTTAGGATTTGGGCTCAGGTGACTGGGTGATAATGCTTCCATTTACTGAAATCAAAATATGGAATTAGAAGAAGAGTAGTAAGATGAGGGATAGGGGGATTATTTTAGGTATGTTGGAGCATGAGGATGAAAATATTTTGTTTTGATTGTATGAGTTTAGGGTTCAAGAGCAATGTCTGGGTTAGTGCCATAGGTTTGGGACTTAGAAATTAAACTGTAAAAGTTGAAATGATAGAGGAAGAAGATAAACAAAAAAGAAGAAATAGCCAGGAAACAGGAGAATCGACAGTGTGGTCTCATAAAAGCCACAAAAAGGTTAGACTCATCAACAGTATCAAATTTAACAAAGAAATCAAGGACAGGTGTGTCCATTAAACTAAGCAGTTAGGTCCCATATTGCCCGGGTGGTCTCTTCGGAGCGGTAAGAGTAGGGTCAGGATTGCATAAAGAGTCATGAGAGGTAAGGAAGAGAGCCAACACAAGCTTTTCATTTGAAAAGGTGCCTGAGAAAGAAGGAATTATGTGTGGCCATAGGTAAAAGGAAGAAGTTTGGGGGAGGAGATGGGAGGATGAGGGTAAGCCTGGGATAAGAGCTACCTCTTCCCCTTACACTGGCGGGAAGAAAGTAAGATGCAGATGTGATACTTTCCTGTTCTCCCACTCCACTCAAATGTTTGTGGATATCCACACACAGTAGACTCAATTTTTGGTGAACTGGGAGGAATTCGCATCTCCCTTGAGGATGAACATGGAGGGGGCTTGAGAACTATAGTGAAGGTTTGGGGCAGTCAGTCACTGAGAGGAATAAGCAAGAGGGTATCATGGGCAAATAAAATGTGTACTGGTGTTTTTGAGAGGCTGACTTATTAATTAGTAACCATGAAATAAACTTGTGGGGCCAAATATTTCAAAATTTTGCAGCTTTCTCCAACAGCATTGAGCCATAGTAAACAGATAATAAAATTGGTCCAAGGTTAAAAATTAGCAAGGCAGATGTGGCAGAAAATCCAGGCAGAAGAGGATGTTAGGGGAACAACTTCAGGCATGTTGAGAAGGAAGTGAGACCAAGAGGAGGAAAAATTTTTGAGAAAACAGATCAAAGAATTAAAGATCTCAATGAGGCTGCAGTGCAGTGAGGTTTTGAATAACCAGGAGGAGAGAAAATTTTTCAGAGTATATTAGAGTTTAAGATTTCAGACTAGGAGCAGATAAGATCTGTGGCCTTGCTGAGTAAGAGAGGAGGAGAGGTGACAGCCTTCAGAGTTGAGGGGACACAGTCACCCCCATAAATGTTTATTCTTTGGGGATTGCTGGACATTGAGGTACAGAGTGCTGTGCACCAGTTGTCATGGTCCACAGACGAGTGTGGAGGAAAGACTAAATGAGTCAGCGAACTGCCAGTAGCAGGCGGGCTGGGTCATAGCACCCTGAGAGGTGAGCATCAGATGGAAGGATTTGCATTAGGTAGAGGAACAGTGGTTACAAAGCTGAATTTTCCCGAGGTCAAGGGCTGTGCCTGTTTTCTCACTACTCTACCCAAAGTCCAGCACAGTGCTCTGTACAGAGTCAGTGCTCATGAAATAACTTTGGACGTGTCAGGTCTGTAAGAGAGGCAGTGACTTGAGGAAGAGACAAGGATGGTGATAAAAAGAAGTGGAGGGAGCCTCTGAGAAGTGGTTGAAGAGGTAGAGGAGGCTGTTTCAGTGGAAAATAGTGATTCTTGGTGTGTCAAGAAAATTAATAAAGATGCTTAGTGTCTAAACACAATCGTGAAGGTCTTTTTTGTGCTGTAATTACACTATTTTGATGTCTTGAAAAAACTATTGTCTGAATTTAAAAGTGCTTCCCCCACCTTACTCTGTTTTGTTACTAGAAAAAAAAAGTGAACAAGAATTAAAAGATGAAGAAATGGATTTATTTACCAAATATTACTCAGAATGGAAAGGAGGTAGAAAAAACACAAATGAATTCTATAAGACGATTCCCCGGTTTTATTACAGGGTAAGTGGTATCTAAGCATATATCTTGCAGAATTTATAAATGAAATGTAATTTTAAAATGAGTTAAAAGTCTTATATTTTATAAATAAGTCAATTGATTATATTCAAAATTTTGTATATTTATTTTTTCATTCTAGTTGATCTTCCTATTTTCAACCTGGTTAGGTCTTAGTTTTTTCATATAAATTGGTATAAGAACACAGTTTTTACTTGCCACTTTTTTTAAGCGATAGGCTTTTCCTTCCTTCCCTATTTTCATTACGGATGTTAATAGTAGGCATTCTATTGGATTATGTTGTCAGGCTTTCTGTAAGACTAAGGTTTACTTAGCTGATCACAGTTTTTAACTCTGACTTTTACTCATAAGGTGTAAAATGTTTTGCTCAAGGCTAAACTGAAAAGTAGATTGAGAGTGGAAAACTTTGAATTGTACTTAGTTGAATGTTTTCTAGTGCCAAAACTGTAAAGAATGTCATAGATAAAAACAGTAAGACTTTAAGAAAGCTATTTACAGCTGAAATTGAAGACTACTAAGAAGAATAGGACCTATTTACTATTATGTAAAATGTAACCACTATGGAAAAGTTAACTTTGGAGTTTTAGCTGAATGTCTCTTAAACCTGTTATCTTCTAAACTCAATTAATTATAACAATATTTGCAAAGAGAGTGAACATTTTATTTCGCTTGCATTAAGGAATGAAGTATTAATATAAGTGAATTATCAAGATAATTCAAACTTACTTCAAGTACAAGCTTTTTTCATGTGAACCATTTTATTGGAAACTTTTTTGTAATACTTTGTATCCAGCATTTTAAAAATTATATAACTAATCCACATCTGTCATGGAAAAAAGAAAAAGCAGCTAAAGCTGATATTTGCCCATAATAACATTGCCCAGAGATGTAAATAAGTATTTTATATGAATCCTTCTACGTATTTCTGTATGTATGTATGTGTATGTGTGTGTAACAAAAATGGGATCACATCATACATGCTTTTCCTGCTTTTTAGCATTTCACACTTTTTTAACCAGAGGCAGCTAGACAGCTGAGAATTTTTTATAGTCTGGGGTAGGGGCGGGAGGGGAATTCACATTTACGGAGTGTCTGCATACTTCAGAGCACTTTATATTCACTCTCATGTAACCAGGATTATGAAATCGTATCTTACTAACCCAGAAACGGCCCTCAGATGTTGACGTAACCCCATTCCTGAGCCCATGACTCAACTTTCTTGCCCTTCCAGTCCCAGACGTCCCCTTGTGGTTCTGAGGGAATCCCCTTTTCCCCCATTTCTGTCTCTTGTTCTCTGACCTCTTCCAGATCCCAGATGGTTTCTGGTCTGCAGCTGTGGATTTGTGGGACATTCTTTCCCTTGTTTATTCTTCCTGTCATTCTACTCCACCGCTTCAGAGAAACCACCTGTCATCTTTGGTCACCGCTTTCCTCCCTGGCAAATTTGATTACTCTAGTTGCATGACCTTGGGCAACTCATTAACATTTGATGTGAAATTGAGGGGACGGAGGGGAATGGGGAACCAAACCAAACAACTAATAAAAAATTAAAACAGTCTTGGATGCTGAAGATGTAAATCTTGGGTCTGGGACTGACTAACTGTACATGTGTTCTTGATCAAGTCATCCATCTTTTGATTTCCTCCTCTCTAAATTGAGCCTAATGAAGTCCATCTCACAGGGCTGTTAGGATTAAATTAGAACGTGTGTGTGTTGATGCCTGGTATATCATGAGCACATACTAAATGTGGTGTTCATTTTTAAGTAAACTTCTATGGATCTAAAAGAAAAGAAAAAGAAAAAGAGAAAGAAATTTGGGCTAGACAGTTAGCTTTTTCCAGGCAGGAATCTGGCCCTTAGCTGATCACTGAATTCTCTGCGGATCTCTTTGTAAATGAACTTTTTAAATAAATGATGACTTGATGTTAAGCAAAATTGAGAAAAAAAAGTAATTTTGAGACAGTAGCATATATAGTTTTTTATGAGGCCAAATACATTTTACAGAATCCAGTCTAGAATTTAAGTGTAGAAATTAACTCTACAGTGTATTTTTAGCTGCCAGCTGAAGATGAAGTCTTACTACAGAAATTAAGAGAGGAATCCAGAGCCGTCTTCCTGCAAAGGAAAAGCAGAGAACTGTTAGATAATGAAGAGTTACAGGTAAGAATGGAATGAAAAGTTGCTTTGTATGTTAGCCATTTATGATTGGTACTCACGTCCTACAGGATCTCAGGGTGCCTTAGTAGAGCCAGTACTGCAGAGCGGTGAAAGCTGGGGCTCTGAAGCCATGGTTCCCACCAGAATCAGCTACAGAGCTTGTGTGGCTCTCTCAAGGATAGTTTTGTTTTGTTTTTTAAAGTCCGTAGGTGATTTTAATGTGAGGCCAAAGTTGAGAACCACTACTGTAGGGTCAAACTGTAAGGGTTCAAATCGTAGCCCTGCTCTATGATGGACTTAACATTCTGTGCTTCAGTTCTCATCTGTAAAGTAGGGATAACAGTATGTACATCATATAGTTATATGCATTGAAGAGGAACTGCATATGAAAAATTTTAGAACTTAGTAGGCAGTCAGTGAATGCTAGCTGTTTTTATTATTAGTAATCAAAAGGATAATGAGGATGAGGTTCTTCTTAATATTAGCTCTCTACTATAACACATTTAACTACGTTTTAAAATTTTGTTCTGTTAATTATGACATTGTCATTTCTGCAATTCTCCTAAGAACTTATGGTTTTTGCTGGACAAGCATCAGACGCCACCTATGATTGGAGAGGAAGCAATGATTAATTATGAAAATTTTTTGAAGGTCGGTGAAAAGGCTGGACCAAAGTGCAAGTAAGAATAATATAATTAACAAAGGAGTATGTTATATTAAGCATTTTACACACTTGATCTTAGCCAAAAGGCCGAGAAGCGATAAAGCATTTTAAATGCTTCAAAGAACTAATGAAAATTTAAGTCAATGATATGACAATTTGAGTCAACTTTTTATTGAACTAACAAAGTTTAATAAAATTACTTACAGTTGAGAAACTTACATTGGTATGAAGTTATTAAAAGTTATTAAAAGAAATAATGATACTTTATTTACAACATTATAGACCTTCATTCTTTTTTTCTACTTCTAGAAATTTATCCTGAGCAAATAATAACATAAATGTACCAAAATATACAAGGAATTCATTATTTATAAAAGCAAAAAACAAAAAAAAACAATAGCATGACAAACAAAAGCAAAAGAACAAACAAAATATTCATTAACATGAAACTGGTTAAATAAATTATGGAATACTAACTACATAGTAACTTTAAAAATAAATCCATATACACAGAGGAGAGGTGAAAGGTTATATCAAAATGTTACTTTTGGAAGTATGGTAATGGGTAACCTATATTTTCTTTTCTTGATAGTTATGGTATTATTGTTATAGGACTGTGTATGTATATCTCTGTAAAGAGTAAAATTTAAGTAGAGATGGGGGAAATAATTATTCTTAAATGCCGGGAAGACAAGTGATAATATGAGCTGAGGCGAACTACCTTAACCCCACAGCTGATTGTCTATAAGTGCAATAATGTCCCCACATGCCTAGAGCTATTTCTTCTTACACAAATCTGAGCTCTCCTTCCTACTTTTCAAAGGCCTTCATCCTTAAGACAACAGAATAGAAAGGCGTGTGACTTAAAATTTTAAGTTTTAACCTATAGTTCTTTGATTTTTTTCACCCCTTTGATTTAATTGTTTTGAATTTATTTTGTTGTTTGCTAAATCATATAGGAGTCATTTTTATATTATATTAGCAGATGATTGAATCTTTATTTCTTTCCTTAGGCAATTTTTTACAGCAAAAGTCTTTGCTAAACTCCTTCATACAGATTCCTATGGAAGAATTTCCATAATGCAGTTCTTTAATTACGTCATGAGAAAAGGTGATTTCATTTTCATTGTGCTTGAACTCCTGTCTGGGAATAAAGTAGATTTTTGGTCCGTGCTTTTATAGTATCCCTTCCATGTCAAACAACTGTTTTAGTAAGTTTGAATAACAGAATTTCTTGTCTTTTGACCAAGGTTTATTTTCCTATTACTATGATTCTCTCCTGGAAATTACTAGAGCTGTGATTTTCTACTATACATTTGGGCTCACTATTAAACAAAACAAAGCAAAACAAAAACCTCATATATCCTGAAGATACTACCTAACTAGGTATATCAAAAGCTGAACCAAGAGGTTTAATGTATGGTTACTGGAAATAATTTCAATCCACTGGTAATTTTATTTCACCAGTATATTACAGGTTGAGTTGCCTGAGAGGATAGTTCCAAACTCACAACTGTAGCATCATATTCAAGGAGTTTTTATTTAACAACTTGGAGTTGTTATGATTCCTTTAAGTTCCATTATGACCTATGAAGTCCTGTGTGTACCATCTGTAACTAACACTTAGTTGTAGTAATTAACCTCCGTAGAATAAAAGCTACTTCATTGAAGGCCTAACATTACACTCCTCCTGTTGGAACACCGGTATTCCCAAGGGCGTCCACTTTGTTCTCGCTTTAGGCTTGGTAGAATCGTTGATATCTGCAGTTAATTCTGTGGTATGTTTGTTTCGTTTTGAACAATTTTGGGGTTAATGAATAAGTAATGTGTGTGAGAAAAAATTTGTTTATAGTTATTAAATTAGCTTGCCCCTTAATCTAGCTCTTTATCTCCTTTAATGCATATATATGCTAACAGATAGATCTTAATAATTATATTGCATTTTCCTGTTTATTGTTAGTTTGGCTTCATCAAACAAGAATAGGACTCAGTTTGTATGATGTTGCCGGACAAGGGTATCTTCGGGAATCTGTAAGTCTTGACCTACTTTAATAACTACACTAGACACCAGAATGTTAAACAGTAGTTATCACTGGGTGTTGAGATTACAAATAATTCTTACTTTGTTTTTGTGTCTCAGTTTTGTTTGTTTTTACAAATATGTTACTAAAAAGCTTTTTAAATGTATCTTGATCAATACATGTATTGATCCAACCTTTAAAACAGTGAAAAACTTCTGGTTATTCATGAGTGTTATTAATGTATGACTGTTTTAAAATGTAGGGACCAGAAGTTTTCCCTCTTTTAGGAAATATAAGAAAAATACTGTGACTATATTCTCACCTGTAGGTTTGGGTTGTAAGGTCAGTTACCAAGAACTATTTATTTCCCATTAGGGACTAATGTAGTTAGGCCAGGTTATCAACAGAATTACATTGCAGCTTCATGATCCAAATCGTTATTCTTCTTGTAAGTGTGGGTATCTAAATAGTATGAATGTGCTTCTTTTCAGCTCAGGCTTTTTCCCCAAATATATGGAATCCTTTTTAGGGTTGTGAAGGAAAAGGGAAGGGATAAATACAAATAGGCATAAATACAAATCAGGTTATTTAGTCATTTCAATAAATATTCAAATATAAGACTTAAAGAAATCCAGGTTCCTTGTTATGGTTTATAGTTCCTGTTATAATTTGTTGCACTGTTTTATCCAGAGTTCTATAGATAGAATCTGTTAGCTCATCCTAAACATTTACACTTGAAAAACTATCTAGGATCACAGTACAATTCTTGTCCTTTAAGGTTCAGATAAACTTGCCAATAAAAGGTTCTTGCTTCTGTCCCTCTCTCCCTAGCAAGGAAGATCTAGTAGCCACCTGTTGGTACAATTCAGGTCAGGTACTGGAGTCCTTCTACAGCTCTGAGAATTCTTGTTGGTTTTCAAAACACATTTATCTTTTCTTGCCTCGTTCCACAAATGGAAACAAAAGTTGAAAGAGGGATGGGGAAGAGAGAGAAAAGCAGCAGTGTATCTCTCTAGTTGTGTTTAAAAGGGAGTTGTTTTCCCTTCTCTCAATGAAAGAATACATTTGTCTCAAAGAAAAGAGGTATTTCTCCTCACCTTGGCACTTTGTCCTGTAGACCTTGTATCTCCCTTGTTTAAAAAGACAGTGATTTCCAGAGCCAGTGTCTGTAACTTGAGTAGAACAGGCAAAAACTTTCATTCACTTACTAAATCTTATTAAATAAGCATGTACCAGACACTTAATTTGTGCCCGGTACTGTGCTAAGCCTTATTCTTAGGGTGCTTTTTTTCTAGCAGAGTGAGGAGGAAGACACTAAATTGTAAGCAAGATGATTTCAAATAGTGACAAGTTCTGAAGAGAAAATAGGATAATAGGAAACAGTATGACTGGGGTTGGGGAACTGTTTTAGGTAAGATGGAAGGGGTACTTTGAGATAGTGATTGAGTTTTAGCTATGAAAGATGAGAAGGAAGCCTACCTTATGAAGATTTAGTACAGAGGTAACAGCAAATTCAGTGTCCCCAAGGCACAGTTAAAGACCTGTTCTAGAAACAGAAGGCAGATCGTCTCTCAAGATGATTATGGATCAGACCAGGGTGATGGCTGTAGAAGAAGCCAGTAGTGGATTAATTCAGCATATATTTTGGACACATACCCCCAAAAAACAACCACAAAAATTTGCTGCCAAGTTAGATGTTGACCAAGGGTTAGGGGCCTAGGTGAAGAAAACGTAGGAACCAAAGATGAGTTTAAAATTTTCACTTTGAATAAGTGATGGAATAGGGAAAAATGGGTGAGGACCAGGGCTGTGGATGATAGGAGTCTAGTTTTGGACACACTATGTTTGAGATGCCATCTGTTCTGCAGCTTAAATTATAAAGTGTCTCAGATGAAATAGAAACACTATCCTTAACAATAGTAACGAAACTTTTAAATATATGATCTTGGAGTAGGGAAAGCCTTTCTAAGAAGTCTAAAAAATAATAAATTCAGCTAAATTTTAAAAAAATCTATAGAGCAAAGACCATCATAAGCAAACTTAAAGAAAACAAACTAAGAAAATGTCTGAAACTCAGTCACAGACAAATGGCCAATTACCCTAATGTATAAAAAGCTGCTAGAAATCAAGAGGAAGATGGCTGCTAACCCAGTTAAAACTGGGCAAAGGATATAAGTAGTTTGCAAAATATAAATGCTACTTTTTTTTTCCATTGGGGGAGGTAATTAGGTTTATTTATTTATTTATTTATTTATTTTTAGAGGAGGTACTCGGGATTGAACTCAGGACTTTGTGTATGCTAAGCATGCACACTACCACTTGAGCTATATCCTTCCCTATCAAATGCTTCTTAATCACAAGAAAAAAATGTTAACTTCACTTTATATAAGAGAAATGCCAAATAGATCTACACTAAAATATCATTTTCGCCTACGAGATTGACAAAAAGCAAAAAGTTTGATAATGCTTTTAATGAAGGAATGTGAAATAGGCCATGGTTTCCCAGACGTTTCCAGTTCACTGAGGTGCCCTTACAGTTAGCTTGAAACAATTTAATGAAAGTATTCACTTAACTTATTAGCCTATTAACCATTTACAAAAATAATACACATAAGTTAAAAGAAAATCTAATTTTTACTTTATTCTTAAATGACAGTCACTAATGGAATGTGTGTACCCATGGGGCACTGTACAGCTACTCAATCCTGGGGATTAGGTTGGATACAGTCATCCTCGGTGCCTCTTCCACACTCATTTCATGTGATACTAGCTTTATCACAGCAACCACCCAAAACCTAGCTTTGCAAAGATTAATGTCATCAAAAGGAATATAATTTCAATCTGATGTTGAAAATGTGAACTACTTTGAGCTCATAGTGACATGTTGTGCAGTATCCAACAGATGTCGCTGTTTCTCTTAAAAATTTATATCCTGCTGCACCTGTGAGTTTAGGGTAGCACTCCTGGTGCACAATTTGGGAACTGTTAATAGAGCCTTCACATTGCCGGTGGGAGTGTAAAACGAATGTGGCCTTTATGGGGTAGTGGGAAATTTGCCAACGTCTTATCAAAATTATAAACGTGCATATGCTTTGACCCAGCAACTCCACTGACAGAAATTATATCCTGTATTTTCCCGTAATATCTATGAATGAAAAATGAGTTTAGCTCCTATTGTGCTTTTTTAGTGTTGCAAAAGATTAGAAACAACCTAAATGCCCATCAGAAGACTGGTTAAATAGATTTGGTACATCCATACAATGAAATAATACATAGCTTTTTTTTAAAGTAGAAACGCTTTGATAGTCAAGGTGGAATCACTGCAAAGTATATTGTTGAGTGATATAAGAAGATACAGAAAGATCTGCATGGTACACTGCTACATCCTATGTAAAAAGAGGAAGAGAAATATATACATATGCGTATTGGCATATACGTGCATCAGTTATCTTTAGAAAAGGTACATCAGAAGCTGATAATATAGGTTACCTCTAGGTAGAGGAAATAGGTGAGAGGGAAACTTTTCAATGAATACTTTTTTGTTTCATTTGAATTTGGAGCTATGTAGAATGTGTTATGTATTCAAAACTATGTTAAGATGAAAATAAAAAGTAAATTAGTAAAAATAAATTTAAAAGTTTCACCTCTAATATAATTATGCATTTATTTCATCATTAATATAGTATTAATGCTGAATAATTTTTAGGGCTGAAATTATATTCCAGTATCTAATGAAGAAACAAGATCAGACATTTACCTGTATAGGTTTTCTAAAAATAAAATACATTTAAACTCAAAAAAAAAGAAATCAGACATTTACGACTTTAAAGTTTTATTTTGGTTTTTTGTTCTTTCAGGATTTAGAAAACTACATACTGGAACTTATCCCTACTTTGCCACAGTTAGATGGACTGGAAAAATCTTTTTATTCCTTTTATGTTTGTACAGCAGTTAGGAAGTTCTTCTTCTTTTTAGACCCTCTAAGAACAGGTAAAGGAAAATCTTATCTAACTTATATTAAGGAGAATATCATTACTTCTAAATCTCAGGAACTAAAGTCTTTAAAATGTCATTTATTTATTTTCCTAACATGTCATTGCTGTTAATATATAAAGACCTTTTGATTTATTTGCATCAGCCATCATCAGTTGTGACAGTGGGTATGTCACCTAACCTTTTACAGTTTCTCATCTCTAAAATGAACTATGAACCAGGTGATCTCTGGCTCTTGCCAGTTCTTTGAAGCCAAGTATTCTGATATAATTTGCTATCCCAGATAGGTTATGTGCTGGAGAATTGTTCTTTTTGATGAAAAATCTGAATTGGGAGATAGAACTGTTTAGCTATGATGTATTTTTCTCTTTCTCAAGTTAGCTATCCTATATGAGGATCAGATTTGTAAATATGGCCTCATTAACAGTACACTTTATCAACTATTCTAACGTGCTGGGCTTAATTAAATATGTGTAACTGAGACAGAGGAAAGGACAGAATGCCCAAATCAAAGTCCTTGATTCTCCTTCTGTCTTTGAAAATCCAGCTATGAGTCCATCACAGTACAGGGAGCTGACAGTCTTTTGTAAACACCTCCATTACAGGCATATACACATCTTTTCCCTTTCAACTTTACAAAATAATAATAGCTAACAGTTTTGACTGTTTATTATGCACTAAGTACTATGCTAAGCATTTTACATAGATTCTTTCATTTCCTTCTCATAACACTATAAGGAAGATATTATTATACACATTTTACGTGTGAAGCAACTGAGACTCAGATGGATTGCCTGTCTAGGAGTGATTTAACTCTCCATCTATCTGCTCTTAACCACACCTCTGTATTGCTTTCTATTCCTGAACCTCCAAAGAAATATGGAGACGGTCTCTTGGACTGCTAACAGTCTCATATCCATATCCACAAAAAAGTTAACACAACTTCTTTTGGAATCTGTATCAGTGTACCAATTGGATGTATATAGTTGGGTGTATATAGGTAGACATACCTGTATGAGATTTATTAAATATTCCCTGCACAGTTCCCTTTCATAGCAGTACATAGTAAGGACTTGGAGAAGAAGACCTAGGAAGCTTTAAAATATTAATTATGGGATTGCTCTTATAAAACAATACCTTTATAAAATTGAGTTGCTCTTATTTTTAAAATGAAATTAATTGTGTTAATGTGTTTTAAAGGGAAGATAAAAATTCAAGATATTTTAGCGTGCAGCTTCCTGGATGATTTACTGGAGGTAAGTATGTTTTTAAACTACTTAATTATGTCACTTGACAGTTGCTATCTTCTACTTATGTCTCTGTGTTCATTTAGTTAAGGGATGAGGAACTATCCAAGGAGAGTCAAGAAACAAATTGGTTTTCTGCTCCTTCTGCCCTGAGGGTGTATGGTATGTTCCTATCTTAATGCCAGAATTTGAATTATCCATTCCTCAGTTAATGTTTCATTAAGTGGTGTTCAAAGGACAGTTTTCTACATAGGCTAATATACCTTAAGATCAAAGTACTGTAATTTACCTTAAGAGTTTCTATTCTAGATGACTAACTTTTACTTGCTTAAATACCAACATTTTGTATTTTTGTAACTCTTATTTAAGTTAGTACATTTCTAACACTTTAATAGAACATACACTGTCGTTTGATCCTTTCTTGTTGACTCAGGAACGTCATTGTGAACATCACCTATGATCTTGCATTGTGATAAAATGCTACTCTCAGGGTCCTCAGAAGGAGGTGTTCTAGGGCCGAGCTTGCTCTTTTCTTGAATTTCATTAGTCTGTTACATTGTTCCATTGGGTCATCTTCTGACTCGTTTTGGCAACCCTGACCTCTGCTTTCAGGTGTCAGCATTTCACTGCTTTATGTTGGTTGACCCCCCACCTCCATTTAATTTAGAATCCTAGGAACGTTCTAAAAGGTTACAAACTGAAATAGAATAATAATGTAAGTGAAATAGTCCAAAGGCATGGCCTTCATGATGAGTTTTCCTTGACCAGTTCCAGTTTAATGGTTGTTCTGATAGAGCCTGCAGGGATAGCAGATGTCTGCCCTAAATGTAACATAATCAGTTTAAAAATCAAAATGGTGACCAACAAAAATAACTTCTGTTAGTGTTTATTCTTTTGTCTTTTAAAGAATTTTATTTTATTCTTAAGTGTTTTCTTACCATCTTTCTTCCCAAGGCCAGTATTTGAATCTTGATAAGGATCACAACGGCATGCTCAGTAAAGAAGAACTCTCCCGCTATGGAACAGCAACCATGACCAATGTCTTCTTAGACCGTGTTTTCCAGGAGTGTCTCACTTATGATGGAGAAATGGTAATTTAAATCTCTAAGTTTTAAAAATTTAGGCTCCTACAATTTCCAAAAGACTTTTTAAAATTAAACTATAATCGACTTACAATGTTACATTAGTTTCATGTATACAACATAGTGAGTCAATATTTTTACAGATGACACACTGAAGATATTGTAATATATTGACTATATTCCCTGTGCTGTACAACTCTTTGACTTGTTTTTTAACTGGCAGTTTGGACCTCTTAATCCCCTTCACCTATTTTGCCCCTCTGCACACCCCTCTCCCCCTTGGTAACCATTAGTTTGTTCTCTGTATCTGTGAGTCGTGTTTCTGTTTTGTTATATTTGTTGATTTGTTTTGTTTTTTAGATTCCACATTTAAGTGAAAACATACAGTATTTCTTTTCCTCTGACTTATTTCACTAAGCATAATACCCTCCAGATCCATCTGTGTTGTTGCATATGGCAAGATTTCATTCTTTTTTATGGCTGAGTAGTAGTCCAGTGTGTGTGTGTATACACACACCGTATCATCTTTATCCATTCATCTGTATAGACACTAAGGTTGCTTCCATATCTTGGCTACTGTAAATAATGCTACTATGAACATTGGGATGCATATATCTTTTCAAATTAATGTTTTCATTTTCTTTAAATACCCATGAATGGAATTGCTGCTTATATGGTAGTTCTATTTTTAGAAACCTCCATAGTGTTTTCATAGTGGCTGTACCAATTTACATTCCTACCAACAGTGCACAAGGGTTCCCTTTTCTCCACACCCACCCCAGTATTTATTTGTCTTTTCAATGATAGCCATTCTGACAGGTGTAAGGTGATATCTCATTGTGGTTTCGATTTGCATTTCCCCGATGATTAGTGATGTTGAGCATCTTTTCATGTGCCTCTTGGCCATCTGATGTCTTCTTTGTAAAAATGCCTATTCAGGTCCTCTGCCCATTTTTTAATCACAAAAGCTTTTTCTTGATGTGGTACAGCATTATTTTCATATCTGTGTAACAGTATCTTAAAAAGTATACACTGATCAAGTTATTTGAGATTCAGAGCCTTTGATCTTAAGGTAAATTTGTTCAAAAACATTACTTCCCTTATGGACTCAGGGCAAATAGAAAAGTTTAGTATTTGGTTTACTTCATTGTCAGTGCATCTATGCACCTATTGTAGAGGAGTGTGGACTAGTTTTAAAAAAACCTGAAAAATGGACAAATTCTATTGACTGTTTTCATATATGTGATTTGTTCATTAAGTTACCAGGTCAGATCTAGTACCACATATGCCATGATTTAAATCTAAGAATCAGGTTATATTACTCTAAGCAGCTACATTTTAGTAGCTAAAGACTTAGTAGTATGCACTGGTCCTTTTATTATAACAATGTAAAATATTTGAGAAGAAAATTCTAAACAGCATTTTTAACCACCATTCTTGCAATTAAAAATGTGTTAAGGATCTGATAAGCATCACTAGTTTAGAAAAGTTAAGAGATGGTCATATTGTCAGAAGAGAATCAGGGTTTTTAGGTTTTATCATTTAGTGTTAATAGCAGTTTTCTAAGTAACATTGTTAGCCAAGTGCAAAGGAAAAGGGAAAAAAGGTGCAGATACTCTGCTTAGTGACTCCCACAGCTGTCCATGGTTAATAGTGAGGCGCTTGGAGTATACTAATGACCTGTGAATAAAGAAAATCAGAAGCTACAGCTGTGTGTGGAGTTTAGACCATGATAAGGCTGCATGTCTAGTTCTTTATACTGCAATTTAAACAGAAAAGAATCCTTTAAAAAGTCCTCTCCAAGATTATAAATTTTCTTTTGCAAGTGAGAATCTCCCAAGTACTTTACTACTTTTAACCACGCAAAAAAAAGTTTTCTGTGACTTATCCCCTTTCTGTAGAGAAAGCTTTCTGTTCTCTTCATGTCTTTTTAGCCTTCATTTGTACTTTTTTTTTGGATGAGAACGGCGTCTGTTCGCTGTAGAATATCTGACACTGTTAAAAAGACTTATTGGAAATCATCTGAATTAAAATTTTAAGACAGTATTTCAAAATGACCACACTGAAATGTTAATATAAATTTACTAGCAACGTATGCTGTCTTGTCCATCTCAAAATTGTAATGAAAGAAAATTTTGGTTTAACACAGCAAATCTCTCATAAGAACATGAGCTGTGCCCCTACAACTTTCCTGTACAAATTAACGGCTACGTAGAATTCCTAGAAACCAATGTTAAGTATACAGGTAGATTTCTCATTTCATATTTTTAAAAATTTTCCACCTTTGATTACATAATAGCTTAAAATCATTAGATATTCACCTGAAAAGTTAATTCCAAATAAGGCCTCTAATGAACATGATTTTCTTTTCAATAGGACTATAAGACCTACCTCGATTTTGTTCTTGCATTAGAAAATCGAAAAGAACCTGCAGCTCTACAATATATTTTCAAATTACTTGATATTGAGAACAAAGGATATCTGAATGTCTTTTCCCTTAATTATTTCTTTAGGGTAAGTCTCATTTGAGTATATGTGTCTTTGTTCCTTAAGATATGTTATACAATTTGGTTTAAATTAACTACTCAGTGACAATTTTATCTAACTTATGATGTTTATATAAGAGATTTCAGAAGGGTATCAGGTCTGGTTTTAATTTTGTTTTTTCTATTTTTAAAAATATAAATGAGCTAAATCAATGCTGATTTGACTAGTCGAAGAGTACTAAAAAAGTGTGTGTATATATATGTTGAGCTATTACCCAGTGGAGATACAAACATGCCTGAGAAATTCTGTGCTCTTGGTGATCAAAAACTAGTATGTAAAATCCTACTGAAGCTTTAATTAAACAGTTCAGAAAAGGTAACTCCTTTTTCACAGAGGTTTGTAGACCTTGGTAGTTATATATTCTTTTAATTGCTATGCTGTAAAAAACACAAATTTAAAATTGGCTAGAATTGTGTGCTGCATTTCAGTGTGAAACAGATTTGCTGAAATTCTGTACCTTACGTGGTCTCTGAGAATAGCGTGATGAGCTCTGAAGTGGAATCTGAATGTATTTTATCTGATAGGCATTCAGATGCAGCAAGTGTAAGCAAATGTAGGTGTGTTTGCCCTTTCAAGATAAATCATTCCTCAAATTGAATGGTGACTTTTCTACTTGATAGAATAGTTTTATACAGTAGTATTCCACTCCATTGCTACATTTTTATAAATAGTTTTTAGAAGACCATGAGGTTTTTATATGGTTAAGATCAGTAGCAAGAAGAAATTTTTTTAAACAATAAAAATGACATTTTCATATCTTTGTCATAAACTATTTTCCCAGAGGCTTTTTCTTTTCCATGTAAAATTTTTGATACTTCTAAAATAACTCTGATTTCTGAGTTTCATAGTATATATTTCATAATTTCATGTTAAATTCCCCAAAAGGCTTTCTATTACGATTTTCTAGGTAATAATGACTACAAATACTATAAGGATAAATTACAATCTCAGTATTAGGATGTAGTTTTTAAAAACTGAATGCTACATGGGCTTAAATCAATCGCTCATCTGAGACTATAATATCACATCACGTAGGGATGCCTCTGCTTTAGGCAGACCTATTAAGTGATAATTCAGTTTTAGGAAAACAAAGTAAATGTATCTTTTGGAAATTACTCAATCCCTTTTCACAAACATTTGTTTATAGTGTATCTATTCTTAGAATATTAAATTTTATTTTTTAATACATTGAAAATATTTCATGCATTTCTTTTACCAAAGTTTATTTAGGCTTGGTCATATGGGCTAAGGTAAGAAGTTACTGGTGCTGAGGCCTGCAGTCCTGGGCTGTTCTTGGCTCCTTTGTACATCAGTATCCCAGTGACAAATCTGGACCTGGGTGGTGTACTCTCTAGATCATACCATCCAGGTCTGCTACTCTGGTAGCTGAGAGCATACTCAGATTCTCAGCTACTTCAAAGAGATGCCCTGTGCACACTCTGGTATCAGCAGCACTGCAGAGCAGGGACTTAGACCTATTTTAGTTAATTATTTTCCAAGAATTTTAAGCTCCACATTTTCTAGTGAATGACTCCTACCTAAAATACTTATTGGTCCAGCTGGATCACAGTAGTTTTTTCAGTCAGTATTTTCTGTTTAAGTTCATAAAAGAGAAGAGTTTGAGGGAGGCTCACCTCCATTTTTTTCTGTCAAGTAGAAGATAAAAGTGTAGGGTGGGAGGGGTGTTGATGTACTGGGTCTCTTAAAGAATGGTGATGGTGTGAACAGCGCTCCTTGAAAATGGGAGGAGCAGGCCATGTTTAAGGCACATGTGGGGTTGGAGACCATTCCTATGTAATGAATAGTAATCTGTGGTCTTGTATACTTCCTTTCTGAAGTTTTCCACAGCTAAGGTGTATGTCTAGAAAGGCTGACGGTTACACTGATCCCGTGTTTAGGTTTTGCTGAACAGACATGAAACAAGGGCAAGGAATTTGAGAATATTGGCAAGAGCAATTGGCAAAACAATGAGGCCTCTGGTCTTGATAGGACAGGGAATGGAACTAGAAAGGGGCTGTGGAATAGGACAGGAGGTGTTGTGTGTTTTATTTTTTATTTACACATTGATTTCTACTACCTACAGGCCATACAGGAACTAATGAAAATCCATGGACAGGATCCTGTTTCATTTCAAGACGTCAAGGTTACCTTTTTATTTAACTTACATAAGACCAGATAATCATGTATTAAATGAAGTTTTTCCTGAAAGCAACTTATGAAATACTAAACCAAATCAAGTATTTGCTATCATTTGTTCTGAATTAATATTTAAATCATTAGAAACTGAGACCATACTTGGACTAATGATTTGTGTAATTTATGATTTTAGCATTATCAGCCTCCTGTTCTCATTGGAAGCATTCATTCATTTTGATTGAAAATTAAGAGAATCAGTACAGCCTGCACCCTCTGACAGTCTGTTCCACTGTAAACTGAATTTTGGGGAACTGTTTAGGTTCAGGCACCTTTTCAGTCTGGTACTTTAAACAGCTTGTTTGCTTTGGTATCATTTAAGGAGACACCGGTCTGACAGTATGAAAACTACCACTATTTAAAACACATGCTATACTTAGCATTTTAGTAATCAGAGTTTCACCAGCTACGAAACACATTAAGTATCCAGTACTTGTTCAGGTTAAAAATGTAATAAAATAATCCATCCAGTTTTAACCAAGTATAATAAGATAAAGGGCTATTTTGGTTAAATGTGAGACAAATTTGCAACTATGCAACTGGCAACTTAAGAACTAGTAATTTTAAACTGCCACCAACCTGGAAAGGGAAGTTTCACATGCAACAAGAGTAAAAGTTCATACATATCATTTTACCTGAATTGTTCTTATCTTTTAAAAATGTAATTTGCCTCTTTAAACGCTACTAAATACTCTGAGTCATTTTACTACAAAAAGATGAAAATGTACTAATTCCTTGTAAATATTCTTATAGTACATTTCATAGTATAGGAGAGGTTCTTCCAACTATTCCAGTCATTTTTAGCACAATTTAGTGTCATTATGGATGATTTAATTCTTCAATACCAGACTCCCCCTACCCATTCCAGGTCCAGAGAAAAAGGTTGACATCAATATTGGAAATGAAGTTTTGTCACTGCCTTGGCTCTAAAGCACATAAGTTTTTTACTTTGGGCTGAATTTGCACTTAAATCAAGGCTCTGCTTTACCGATTAAAAGACAAGAGAAAAATATAAGTAGTTAGTTAACATGTATTCCAAGAACACTGCATTAGATAGTTTTGCCACTAATTAGCTCATGTGGCTTAGAGTAGATTAAACTCTTATAAGACACACACAGGCATATCCTGTTTTACTGCATTTTTTACAAACTGAAGGTTTGTGACAACCCTACATCAAGCAAGTCTATCGGCATCATTTTTCCAATAGCATTTGCTTGCTTCATGTCTCTGTCACGTTTCAGTAATTCTCACCATATTTAAAATGTTTTCATTATTATTACTTGGTGTCTCTGATCTGTGATCTCTGATGTTACTTTTGCAAAAAGATTATGACTTGAAGGCTTAGATGATGGTTAGCATTTTTAGCTATCAAGTATTTTTTAAGTAAAGTATATACACTGTTTTATGAGACATAATGCTACTGCACACTTAATAGACCATAGTATAGTATAAACATAACTTTTATATGCTCTGGGAAACCAAAAAATGTATATGACTTGCTTTATTACATACCCACTTTATTGTGATGGTCTGCACCTGAACCCACAGTATCTCTAACAGTATACTTGTACCTAAGGAATTTTCCAATAAAATTCTGTATATGTAGATAAGAGGATTGCCTGTGGAAAAAAAACACTGGAACAAAAATTTTATGTAAGCTCAAGTGCTGGCCCTAAAGTTTAGGTCATTGTGTGATAGAAATTAAGTGAATTGGATATGAGACTTCATCATTTTTTCCTCTCTTGTAGGATGAAATCTTTGACATGGTAAAACCAAAGGATCCTTTGAAAATCTCTCTTCAGGATTTAATCAACAGTAATCAAGGTGACACAGTCACCACCATTCTGATTGATCTGAATGGCTTCTGGACTTATGAGAATAGAGAAGCCCTTGTTGCAAATGATAATGAAAACTCTGCAGACCTTGACGATACATGATCTCCTAAAGACTAGACTGTATTCATTACAATAAGCTTGAATGCTGCATGTAAAACGTTTGAAGGAGAATCCTTGGGAATGGTCTAAATAAAACACTTCATATGCCCATGGAACACAGCCAGTGTTCTGGTTATTGGGATTTTGGTTGCAGTAGTTTGGAAGCAATAGGATGAAATTAGGAGGTAGTAAATACTGGTTCCTCGTAGCTCAAATGTGGCAAGTGTTCTGGTGAAGATAGGAGTCCACCTTAAATCTGTATAATGTTTAGAAATAAAGGAAGTTTTCATGGAGTATTTCTGACATTAGTCATTAAGAATTTGAACATTTGAAAGATACTTTAATAGTCATTTAACTTTGAATCTTCTTCTAAAGTATTATGTATATCAAAGATTATAGACTTCCCCAGCCATCAAAGTAGAGCGATTTCATTTCTGGAAAGTGTCTGGACATGTTTATTTTAATAGGGTGTTTCAATAGAAAGTATTCGTTAGTATTTCACTTTAATTAAAATCATTGGTATAAAAAAATTTGTCTAGCTTGATTAACCAGCACCAGGGTTACATTTTACAAAATTTCATTTTGTTAAGGATTTTTGTTAGAGAATTTGTTAGTTAAGTGTAAAGATTTTCAATTACACTGTTCAGTTTTTATGAGATGAAAGAAGAGGGTGGACAATCATGAACTATGATCCAGAAGGAACAGTAGTTACTAAAACGATGGAAAAGGAAGAAAACGTGAAAGAGGCTTAAAATAAGACAAAACCACTTAATGCATTTATGGGAAATTTTATAGTTTGCATAAATAAAAAGTATAAAAATTTAAGGCACAGTGAATAACTATATAAATATTACAAACTGGCCACTGTTGGACAGGAAGAAAAAGTAAAATTTAAGAAATGTAAAACCTCCGTAAGTCATTATCTTCCTTCTACTACAATCAGAAAAGTCCTTGCTAAGCTCTTTTAGACCTAGTGTCTCTAGGGAGAGAAGATTCAGCTTGCCTTTAGACATGCTTGCCTTCGTAGGATAACCAAATAAATATTTAAGTATCTTCTCAAATGTAGATCAAAACAAATTATAGGGAAGACATCAGGTTAGCATTCTTTAGAGCTATTGGTAAACTAATTTATGGTGACATTACATAATCTGAAGATTAATCCTTAAAGCACTAAATTATGTAGTTTACACCCAGGACTAAAAAGATTACCATCACATGCCATGAACCACCATAAATCTATGTAACTGAGGATTCCTAATGAAGAATTAGCTTTCTTAAATCCTTCAAATTTCACTTGAAGAACTTAGACTATGGTCAGACATTCACGTTCAGTGATCAGACTTTCACAATAAGCCCACTGTACCTAGGTTGTGAATTTCTTTGAAGCCATATTTTATACAGATATATTTAAGATTGAAAGCTTAATGCTGTTTAGAAGGCTATCAACAACCATTCATCTCTAAAAGTTTGTGAATAGGTTTTTGAGAGCAGCATATCTGAAATACTCCACACATTTTTTCTTACACACATTTAGTTATATATCAAATCATACAGATGTAAGATTCTGAACACACACAAGAATATTTTCAAAACTAGTGCTATATAATACTTTTGTAAGGTCTTCTAATAGTGCAGCAGGTAGAGAGGTGACCAACCTGGGTCAAGTAAACCATCCACTGTTGTAACTTGGAAGTGGTGAATGACAGTAACTTCATTATGCTGCCACTGCACCTTGTACAACAGTGAGCCCCTGAAGGGTTAAGTCTTCATCTGTCCCCCAGTCTCACCCCACTACTACTTGGCCCATAGGAGGCATTCAGGGCTGAACGAGTGACAACCAGGATGCCATATGGGTAATCACTCAGTATTACCACTTTAATATATCAATAAACTCATCCCATAATTAGTATGTTGAACACAATGTTCAAACTTATTTGAGTAACTACTGAAAGAATGTAAGATTAAGTAACCATTAAGAAATGGAAACCCATCTTAATATCTGGTGGTGTTATAAACTCAATCACCTTACCAAAAAGTTATTCTCAAGGAAAGAAAATTCAAAATGTTTTTTATCTTGCTCCTTTTATTACACACTCATCCTTAGAATGAAATGAATGGTTAGATACATAAACGTAAGACATAACATGAGAAAATCTAGGGTAATCATTTTAATCTGAGACTACGAATATCAACTCCAATTAGACTAAGTTGGCAACTTTACTATTTTTTTTCCTTACAAACACAAATAACAGACAAGCCTGATAATTTAACTCTTAATTGGTGGTTAGGGCTCTAGAATGTCCTTTTTTTAAAGATCATTTTAAAATCAAAGCACTAATTTGATACAGTAAAAGCATAGTACAGATATCCAAATTTCAGATCTGGCTTTTGCTAGATAGAGCCTAAGTAATAAAGAAGCATTTTTCCCTTTCCAGATAACACTTTAAAATATAAATAACTGTATTAAGTCCCACTGAATAGAGAATGAGAAAGTTCCTGGTATAAAAACCACCTTAGAAATTTGATAGCCATTTCATTCTACGGAGGGACAGAGACTGGATTTTGTTTGCTTTCCATAATGACTTCACATTCCCCCTCCATTTCAAAATTGAGATTGACAAATGAACTGGGTACCAGCATTTCTGGTTGACCTGACTGAACGATGGAATCAGCCTGCAGCTTATTTTGTTGGTATTGTCTCTCTGCTTCTTCAGACATCCTGTTTTCTTCTTCCTCTTCTTCTTCCTAAGAAGAGGAAATACCAAAGTTGAAATATAAATGTCCAAAAGGAACAGTACTTTTTCCCCACTTTCAGCTGCTTGTGCTTTTTTCCCCCCCCTTTTTTTTTTTAACATTTTTTATTGATTTATAATCATTTTACAGTGTTGTGTCAAATTCCAGTGTTCAGCACAATTTTTCAGTCATTCATGGACATATACACACTCATTGTCACATTTTTTTCTCTGTGATTTATCGTAACATTTGGTGTATATTTCCCTGTGCTATACAGTGTAATCTTGTTTATCTATTCTACAATTTTGAAATCCCAGTCTATCCCTTCCCACCC